AATTACTCCTCAAAATAGAGTGAACTCAAAATACTTAAGACATGCCAATAACTAGAAATTTTGAAAAATAGCAAAGGGAATTCTTTCTATCTTATTCATATTGAATTTTTCCTCTGTATTTTTTTCTTTTTAGAAGTAAATTTAGAAAACAAACATACAAAAGAAAATATTTCATTACATAACACCAACCTCTGCCCACAAAATATCCAATTATTAACAGTAAAACTTCTTGTCAAAGTTAAACTTCAACTAAGTAACAGAAGTTGGTATTATTTTCAATGATCATTTAAAATCATATTGTAAAGCAAATTCAATTAATTTAAAGAATATTCAATGCATTCCAAGAATTTTTTCTTCATTTTAATTTAAGTTTTAAATGGAGTTAACACATTTCCCAAATAGAAAACTATGTTATTTGTATAAATTTCTAGCACTATTTTTCCTAATAAAATACTCTAGAAGTAATGGATTTAATGTTTTAAACATATGTAAACAAGGGGATTGAAAGTGAAAGTATTTGTTGCTCAATCATGTCCACCTCTTTGCAACCCCATGGACAATAGCCCACCAGGCTCCTCTGTCCATGGAATTCTCCAGGCAAAAATACTGGAGTGGTTAGCCATTTCCTATTCCAGGGGATTGAACCTAGGTCTACTTGCACTGCAGGCAAAATTTTTGCCATCTGAACCACTAGAGAAGCCCAAAAAAGGGGATACATTTATTTAATAAAAGAAATATAAAATTGGTTTTAATTAGTTTCTACCAGAAGTGTATCCTTATTCATGGGCATTATCAAAAAAGTCTCATAAGTATTTATAAATACAACTCATCAATTTGAATTTTTATTCTTTTGTTAGAGTAAATCTCAGGTCTTTCAAACTAATCAAACACTTTACACACTTAATATATAATGTGCAAGTGATAAAAAAAAAAAAACATTTGAGTTCAGTTAGAAGGTACGAGAGTCAGAAAATAAATTTTTATGGATTGTACATCACCAACCAGTTGCACAAACAGAGAGCACACAGGTAGCACAGAGTAGATAAATCAGTAAGTCTGAGAAAAGTGTAGAAAATATTGATAAAACTGACATAACAATTATCTAGATATCTGCCAGAAGTTTAAATCTCCTAAAAATCAGAAACATGTATAAATTTCAAGTATGTTTTCTAAAAATGTCTAAGGAAACAAATGGAAATATCATTGCCTATTGAAAGAGAAAAAGTTAATAATAAAATAGCCAATAGAGAAACTAAATATGCTTTCTCTCATCAAGAGAATATCTAGGAGTGCTAGATTAAAAAAAAAAAGACCAACAAACCTAGACCCATAGGTTTTTGGAAACATCTTTCAAAAGTATTATGGAAAAATATTTAAGTACAGATGCATGTCCAGCAATTCTACAGAAGTTCAAGATGTATGGTTCACTCTTAAACAAAATGTGTGAACCAAATTATCATTTATTATGTAGTTGAGACCTTGAACCCTTTCTGAGGAAAACAGATTTGCTCTATGTGAACTTCTTGGTAAATTGAGATTTTAAATTACCTGAATAAAATGGGAAGATTTATATTTTAAAATTAATAGAAAAAAGCATAAATATACTATAATATGAATCATACCAATGTTTAACAAATTGAATAGGGTCATGTTTGTAAAAATATTTTAAGAATTTTAAAAAACTTATAAATTAACTTTGAAAGGAGAAAATTGTTTCTAAGAAGTGATAGCAATAAACATATAACAGCTCAGTTTATTTAAGTTAATTATTCTTTACCAACCCCCTACAAAATTGCTTTCTAAGATAAGAGATAAACTTGCAAGTATGTCAGCATATTATGAGGTAACATTGAGAAAATAATATTGCCCATCTGAGAATCAGAATAAATGAAGAATAGGGGTGGGAAAACATTTATTTCTCCCCTCAAAAAATTTACATAGCTGTCCCCAGAAATTTATGCAATTTCTGTGGGCAACTGATTCCAACATCCCCCTTCTCCCCTGGGATACCAAAATCCATAATTGCTTAAATCCTTTACATCAGTGGTGTAGTATTTGCATATAAACTTCACATATCCTTCTATATATCTTAAAATCATCTCTGATAATTACAATATATGATACAATGTATATATCATGTAAATAGTTGTAATTACAACATAAAGACCATCTAAATAGTTGCCACTGCATGGTAGTTTCAAGTTTCAGTTTTTGGAAGTTTCTGAATTTTTTAAAAACATTTTTGGTCCATGGTGGTTGAATCACAGACTCAGAACCATGGATATGAAGGGTTGACTGTATTTGTTTTACCTATCCCTGAAAATGTAATGTTTAATTTCCGTTTGATACTAAGTAACTAATGTGTAGAAACGACAATTGTGTTTTTAGAATCTGCACATTCTAAACTAAACTTGACTACACTAAAGTCTTTAACTGTGTGGATAACAACGAACTGTGGAAAATTCTTAAAGAGATGGAAATACCAGACCGCCTGACCTGCCTCCTGAGAAATCTGTATGCCAGTCAAGAAGGGACAGTTAGAACTGGACTGGAACAATGGACTGGTTCCAAATTGGAAAAGGAGTACATCAAGGCTGTATATTGTCACCCTGCTTATTTAACCTATACACAGAATACATCATGTGAAGATGAAGCACAAACAGGAAGTAAGCTTGCCAGGAGAAATACCAGTAACTTCAGATATGCAAATGATACCACTCTAATGGCAGAAAGCAAAGAGGCAATAGTCTCTTGATGAGGGTGAAAGAGGAGAGCGAAAAAGCTGACTTAAAACTCAACATTCAAAAAACCAAGATCATGGCATCATTTCATGGCAAATAGATGGGGAAACAATGGAAACAGTGACCAAGTTTATTTTTTTGGACTCAAAAATCAGTATGGACAGCCAATGTGATGGCAGCTACAAAATAAAAAGGTGTTCGCTCCTCAGAAGAAAAGCTACGACAAACCTACATAGCGTGTTAAAAAGCAGAGACAAAATAAAAAATAGAGACATTACTTTGAGGACAAAGGTCCATATAGTCAAAGCTATGGCTTTTCCAGAAGTCATGTATGGATGTGAGAGCTCTACCATAAAGTAGGTTGAGCACTGAAGAATTGATGTTTTCTAATTGTGGTGCTGGATAAGACTTTTGAAAGTCCCTTGGTAATCAAGGAGATCAAACCAGTCGATCCTAAAGGAAATTAACTTTGAATATTCACTGTAAGGACTGATGCTTAAACTGAAGCTCCAATATGTTGGCCACCTGATGCAAAGAGCCAACTCATTGAAAAAGACCATGATTCTGGGAAAGATTGAGGGAAGGAGCAGAAGGGGGCAACAGAGGAGGAGATAGTTGGATGGCATCCTTGACTCAATGAACATTAGTTTGAGCAACTCTGGGAGGTGGTGAAGGACAGGGAGGCCTGGCGTGCTACAGTCAGTGGAGTTGCAAAGAGTCAGACATGACAGGACCGAATATCAACAATAAACAATAGAACTTTTCCTGCACTTGAGAAAAATCATCACATTTCCTTATGATTATCCATAAATGTATTCTATTCATAGTCAGAAGGCAATAACAACAACAACAAAATTCTGTCTAGAGACTAGTTGTACTTCAAGTGAGGGAAAAAAATCAGCAATTTTGTAAATGTTCAGTTTATATATAAATGATACGGTAAAATGGAGTAAAATAATGAAAAGAAGGAGGATAGAATATATGTGTGTGTGTTTGGGGGGGTGGAGGGCTTTTACCTGGATCTCTTGCTGAGAAAATATGGGCTGAGTGGTGATGAAAAAGAATATAAGGAGTGACCCTTGAAACTATATGGAGAAAGTTAATCACTTTTGTATCTTGAAATCCTTTCTTCACTTTCACTTCGTGAAAGCACATCCTCTTCTGGTCCTACTTCTCCTGACCACTCATTCTCACTATTTGATGACCACTCATTCTCACTACTTCGATATTTCTCTGCTTCTCCCTCACAAATATTGAGCTCAATACTTGGCGAGGAATTTATCTTTTAATTCTGATGTGTATTGCTGGTTTGTTTCACTTGTAAAATATTGAAATGGCGTGAATGAAAACGGGTAAAATATTCTTAGTAACCATGTCAGTTTTTGAAATGCATGTACTATATTTCACATGCAGAAAATACTATTCTTCTGGCTCTGCTTCCCCTCTGTCTATTTTCAGTTTCTCTACAGGAACACTGCAATGAGGATACCTAAGCTTTAGGATACTATTTTTTTTCAAAAGGAAAATATTTTATTTGTTTCAAATATTGTTTTTAAAGGTTGTGATGAGTATAAATATTGGAATGTGTGTATTGCTTTTAAGCTACCTGGAATATTGTATTTATGTATTCTAACTTTCTCTGTACCTTAAAGTTCATAAAGTCCAAATTTTGGCATTGCTTTCTCTCAACCACCAGAGATGAAAAATATATCATAAAGCTCTGAGTGGTTTAGTTTTACTTCTGTCACTATTTTACAGATTTGAGGCACATCACATTCCTTTTGGGACTCAGAGTCCTCATCTCTAAAATTCAGGGTCTAGATCATGATCTCAAAGGTCTCCTGAAACAAAAATTATGACTCTAGTGCCTTTGTGTTTACTGACTGAGCCCAACATGTACTGAAAGGCTGTTCTACATCAACACTGGGATATTTGTATTTGTACAAACAATACTTCATGTCTCCCCAAACAGGTGTTCGCACAAAGCCTTACAATTAATTGGCCCCAAGGTACTGTGGGTAATAAAGGAAAACACACACACACATTAAATATTTGTGCCATTCCAGACAAAAAAATTGTGAATGATTGTAAAGCATGCCATACTACATTTCTTAAAGTCTAATGCAAGGGAGAGCAAATTAGCTAATTCTGTCATTAGAATAAGAATTTGAAAACACTCACATTGGATATTGAAATGTTATAATTGAAATCAAGGGAAGAGCTAAATTAAATTTACTGTTAATTTTGTTTTTTCTTTAGGTTATTCATACCATCAGTGCCACTGATAAAGATGATTTTGCCAATGGACCAAGGTTTAATTTCTTTCTTGATGAACATCTGTCTATAAACCCAAACTTCACTCTGAAAGATAATGAAGGTGAACATGCATTCATATATTTTTTTATCTTTGTGATATCTGCTTTGACTTGATATGGAGTAAGGCTGAGCAGCTTTGCTCAATTCTGATCAACCGATGAACAGCTTGCAAATCAACATTCAAAGTCAGTTTGACGTTAATGTGTTATGATCTGTGAATAGCTTGTATTTAAAATTGAGCCATATGTACAAATAACTTCCATTGAGTTTATTCAGAAGTATCCCTTTAAACAAGAAATGTACACGTAATATGCTCTTGGGCAAATTTTAAGAGAAATCTTAGCTGACAAACATGTTTATGAGAGCTGCTAAAACTGCTACGAGGTAGAAAAATTTAAATTAGAAAAAATGAAAAATATGTCCTAGGGACAGTTAGGAAAGGAAATGCGATGTTTGAAATCATCTTGCATTAGCCAGGCTATCAGGATGTGATATACAAATTATATTTCCTCTTGTTATTATGACTCCTTTTCTAAAATATGGGTAGATACATATGCATAATTATAGAGCATTGTGGAGTTTTTTGAATTATTTTTGTTTAACCTTCTCTATTGTGCCGGAGAAAAATAACACCATTATAACTAGAGAAGATTTACCAAGATTTAGATTCCCTTGTTGGATAAAATTTATGCTTCTGTATGGAAGGGAAGCAGCAAGTTATTTAATATGTACAGTGCTCTGATTGGCATCAACTTTCTTGTCATAACTGTTTTTGATCACATTTATCTGAATATGCTATTACTTAGGATTTAACAATTGCCTCTGAATCACTTGAAAGAAACAATGGCACATAACATTTTGGAGTAAACAGTTGACTTCTCTGTAGTCTTCATGGAGAAATATTTTCAAATTCAAAAGAAATCCCTGACAACCCAGTGAACAGTTTACCCATTATCCCAAGCTTCTATAAGTTATTATAATAGGGATACTAAATTGTGCATGTGGCTGTTGCAAAATTCATCCAAAAATACCAAACTTGTTTGTTGTTCTCATTTACAATATCCCTGTGGTCAGCTCTACTTATGGCAATACATACTTATCCATGTTTGTGTATGACAAATCATGTTAATTGACTATTGTATATTTTTTTACATATGTACATCTCACCCCAAAATCCCAAATGTATTTATTATAATTAACCATGCTAAATATGTAAAACTAAATTCATATTGTCCATATTCAAGTAATTGCATATTTAGAGAACATTAAACTTTCTGCCTTAGTAGATTGAAATCTACCATGTTTAGAAATCCATATTTAGGAAGCATATTTATATTTCAGTTGAATTTTTCCATTCAATAACATTTTATTATACATCTTAAAAGTAATTTTAGTGTGATATAAGCAAAAATTGACTTAGATTTAATGATGTGTTATAGTCAAGCTATTTAACATAAATAATACCCAAAGTATTTTAGAAAAACGAGAGTTTAACTTATTTAAACCCACATTAGTGATTAAAATTCCTTTATTCAAGATTATTACATCTGACATTTTTCAATTTAATTAATGTATATATTCAAAAGATCTCAGTTCAGTTATTTGACAGTTACCAGTCCTTTTAACTCACATTGAAGAAGCTCCCCTCAAATATATACACACTTTTGAAATGTTTATAATGCCAATGTAAGTGTTTTAACATTTATTTTAACCATGTATATTAATGTTTTAAATCATCTATGCCATATCAAATATGTGATACCTACAGACAGTTGTGTAGGGGTAAAGATGTAATTTATTTTTAAATGGATTTAATTTATTTTAAACATATTTGGGAGTTGATGAAATTATAAATAGCACCAATAATTTATATTGGATAAAAAAAAGCAACAAGATTCTGAAGGAAAAAAAAAAGAAGAGAAGCTAATACAGCAATAAATACATGTGCTTGAGCAAACAGTTTTGTTTATGCTAGATTAGACAAGCCACCTAACTTCTCTCAACCTATTCTTACATCCATTAAGTTGTGGTTTGAATGATTTACTTTGTAGCACTGGGGAATAAATGACACTCTGTGTCAAAGTATTAGAGTTAAGATGACTTTTTCTCCAAACAGAAAGCAGTTATAGATAATAATTTATAAAGATGAAATTTAATATGGGATTTATTGTGGGCTTCCCTTGTGGCTCAGCTGGGAAAGAATCCACTTGCATTGTGGGAGAACTGGTTTCGATCCCTGTATTGCGAAGATCCCCTGGAGAAGGGAACAGCTACTCACTCCAGTATTTTGGCCTGGAGAATTCCATGGGCTCACAAAGAGTTGGACAGGACAGTAGCTAAGTCATGTCCACCTCTTTGTGATGCTGTGGACTGTAGCCTGCCAGGCTCCTCTGTCCCCCAGTATGTCCTGGTGTTTGCTCAGTTTTATGTACATTGAATAGGTGGTGCTCTCTAACCATCTCATCCTCTGTCTCCCTCTTCTCCCACCTTCAAACTTTCCCAGCACTAGATATTTTCCAATGAGTCAGCTCTTCGCATCATGCATCCAAAGCATTTTAGCTTCAGGTTCAGTGACAGTTCTTCCAATGAATATTCACGGTTGACTTCCCTTAGGATTTACTGATTTGATCTCCTTGCAGTCCAAGGGACTCTCAAAAGTCTTAGAATACCCATACCAAAATGAATATATATATATATGTATACATACATACATATATATATATATTCATGGGTATATAAACAGCTCTCAGGACAACAACCAGGACAAAAACAAAGAAAGTAAGAGTGGCCAAATCTAGGCCTACAGCTTGAGCATTGCATACTGTGAGTTAGTAGACATTTACATGCCATCAGAAGACAGAGAAATCTAGAAGAAAAAATTAATACCATTATTTTTCTGTGCCCACTGCTTATAGCTGAGAGGAACAACAGAAAGCAGACAGAGCCTCCAAGTCAGAATGAGTGATCAGGAAGTCATCGGTTTAGTGGCATCTCCAAAATTGTTTTATGGCAGAGTTACTGTAGAGAAAAAGCTGTTTCAAAAGTTAGACACAGAGAAATGCATATTATATTGATAAGTCTGAAAATCAAAATATTAAGATAGTCAATAGATAATAAGATAATGAGAAAATGAATTAACTCGAATAATGCAAAATATATAAGTGAACATGAAAAGTGAATATTAATGTTTTAATGTTTAGCATTTTAAAAATTTTAAAAAAGTAGCATCTTCTGAAAAAGACTAAGAAGTTATATGAAATGAGACAATGAAATTAAATACTTGCATAAATATAATTTAAAAATCTTTATCAAAATAAAGCTATAGTTTTCTCATAGATAAAATGTATATAAAGTTATATGAAAAAATATATATAGTGTTATTTACATAACTGTATAAACCTATTAGCAGATGTTAAACTTTCCTTTTATATATACTATGCACATGTATATATCATGTATGCATGCATGCATGCTCAGTTGCTAAGTCATGTCTGATTCTTGCATCCCCATGGACTATAGACCATCGAGTTCCTCTGTCCATGGGATTCTCCAGGCAAGAAAACAGGTGTGGCCTGTCACTTCCTTCTCCAATATATCATGTATACATAAGATATATATTAAAATATAGGTATTAAATATATAAAATGTATAAAAAGCTATATTATAAATTTATATTTAGTAATATATATATACACTAAGCATATATACATTATCCATATATTTAAAATTTAATTATGTGTGAACACATATATATATGTATATATACAAACACACATACAGATCAAAAGAGAGAACAATATGAAGAAAAATTAATAGCATTACTTTTAGACTGGACACAAAGGGAGATTTAACAAGCCAGATGGAAAATCCATTAATTCAAGCCAAGTTCAGATAGGTCAAAATTTTAAAATACTATGAGAACACTTAGATATGGAATATAATCTATTCAGAAGAATTAGGAATAAATTACATCAAGCAATATGTAGATAGATTAAATTGTACAGCAATTTTTTAAAGTTAAAAATATGTGGACCCTCATGATGAAAGAAGTAGAAATTCAATTATATACTTAAATATGCCAATTTAAAAGTGCTAAGCCTCAAAGATAAAGATAAAAAATGTTAATCAAAAGAAAAGGGTGGATACATTAAAAGTAATAATAATTTGCTCAGCTGTAACATAGATTCTTGTTAGAAAAACTATATGACAGAAATGATAGCAATTATATATTCAAATTGCTAAGGGAAAAAAATTTGCATTGTCAACCTCTTCTATATTTAGTTAACAGTGGTAAACTATCAGAAATTAAGGGAGGACAGTAAGTAAAGTATTTTTCCAGTGTATAAGAAAATAAGATATTTATTTTTAGCTATTGATGTTTTGACAAATATTATATTAATCTTTGCCTTCATGATCTCTGCAAGAAATAATAGACAAAAAAGGCTTATAATTGATATTGGATTTCTAACAAAGAAATTTGAAGAGTTAACACTAAATTAATAGAATAAGAATCTGTTATTTCCAAAGCAAAGCAATTTTTTTTAAAGCTAGTCAATCTTATTTTATCAATAGAACAGAGGTCAGAAAGTAGAAGAAAAGATTCAAATAGAATCAATGAAAATATTTTGTGTATAAAGTAGTTCAAATATATGATAGTCACACTCAGATTAAATATCATTCTTAAAGGTATTTTATTATATTTTAAAAATATAGTGTTATATGCTGCTTACAAGACATATATCAAATTCAAAATGTGATAGGAAGTTTTATATAAAAAGGTAGAAATATTGAGCTATTGCTGAAGAATAAAACAAATCACAAACTTCTTTTCTTAAAGCACATTCCTGTGTTTACCTGCATTTCTAAGAGTTAGCAGTTTCATATGAGTTCATTCAACTGGCAGTTGTTTTGATCTTGGGATACTTTCAATCACTACTAATTGAAATTAGCTAATCAGCATTGTACTGAATGTTTCTCTCAGTCCAAAAAGAGAAATCAAAACTAAAGAACAATAATAAATAGAAAGAAAACACAAGATTATCATTGTTAGCAAATGATAAT